CTAGAGTTACTGTAAGAAAGTAGTTTAAAATAAAGCATTAGGTAGTATAGTTGGGAGAAAATCTAACAAATGAAATGTAAACAATTAGGGTGTGTCCTCTCCCACCAAACAAAAACAAAACTGTTTGATTATTTTTACAGTGCTAAAGTTAGTTCATTACAGTACCTTGTCACCCTTCTTTACTGTCCTGGTTGTCAATTTACTGATGGCTTTCTTAGCTGCATCTCCAAGACGACGCTGTGAAAATTGCAAATAAAAACAGATATTAAGTGTAAGGTCTCTGTATGACGTCCTTTATTTCTAAGCAATTAAAAGTATAAAGTCTCCATTTTACTACATTCCTCTCCATGTCCTACATATAAGAGAATGATAAAATTTTTTTTTTAGATAGAAAAACTGGTGGCTGTGCCACAGATTCAGCATTCTGGTTGAATAATAAAAAGTATTAGAGCACCTGTTAGGTCAAACTCCCTAGAAATATAGGTCTTCAATTCTCCAGCAGTAAAAAAGTCAGGTGTCATAATTGCTGCATTTTGTGTTGAATAAACATTTGAAATATCACAGCATTATCAAACCTACTTCTTGTACACTCCAGAACCACTCCTGCTGCTCTAATGGCTTTTGGAGTCTGCTCAAGGAATGATCACCATGAGGTGTGTAAATGCTGTCTTAGAAAAGGGAAACCCTGACTGCTCCTTGAAATTGCTTATCACATCATCAAGCGTGAAGAGAAGGAACGCGTCACAGCTCTACTTCTGGCTCTGCTACACTACCCTTTGTCATCCTAGGAAGGTGTATTTACCTTCCAGGGTTGAGCTGTTTTCATTATCTCTAAGGGTGAGGTCAGAGAATCTCCAGGGCTGGATTTATGCAACATTCTCCCAGATACTGCTAGCACTGCTTGGCACCAACAACCCAAAGATGAAGAGATGGTGATCCCTACCCTTGAAAAGCTCACTGAACTGGGAACAGTTACATTAATGGTGAACCCTCAAGCATGCCCAGGGCCAGGTGGCAGCACAGAGGAGGTGACTAGGAGGGGTGGGGCGAGGCAGGGGAGGAACACCAAGGAAGGTCTTGAGGAGTCGAGGCCTGGGTTAAGACTGGGAAGGGGTGAGATGGGAAAGGCATAGGGTTAGGAGGCGGTTCCGGGTGTAGGGATAGGAGGAGGTTCCAGGCAAAGTCATAATCTGGTAAAGATAAATAGGTGTAAAGAACAGGTATGTGAAGAAAACTAAGGAGAGCATCTGCTTTCCTGTTTAAATTAGAAAAGCTTTGTGAATCAGAGGGCCCTAGAACATTCACACTGGGACACGGGGCACAAACCAAGACTGTCCCTGGCACATCAGGGAGACGGTCCCTCTAGACACATCCGTGCCCTACACTGCGGGGAAGGCAGATGCTGCTCCTGACGGAGCGAGGGGGACCAAAACAACAGAGACCTTAAGAATGTTAAAAACCCATACAAACATGTAAGAAAAAATGTAGGGGAAAGTTTTAAATACACAAAAGAACAGAGAATAATTTAATAAAGCCTTCCCTATGTATCTAGCATCCGGCTTCAGTTACCAGTATTTTACTTCTAGTTTTTATCTGTTTCCCCTCTTTATTGTGTTAGATGATTCTGAAGCATATCGTAAGCATCCCATCATTTCAGCCATAAAATTCTCACTAAGCACCTCTAATAGATACGGGCTTTTGTTAGATGCCATTATCTTTCCTAACAAAAGTAACAATGATTAATCAACATTATCCAATACTCACACTACACTACAAGTTCCCTAGGTGTTTACAGAATGTCTTTAAGTAGCTGGCTTGTTTGAATCGAGATATAAAATCCACACACTGCGTGTGGCTGCTCTGTCTTCGAAGCCTAATCTATGAGTTCCCTCTATCACGCTGGTTTTAAACCGCCTTATGGAGATAGAATTGACGTAAAATAGACTGCATATATTTAAAATCTACACCTTGACATATATTTAAAGTTACAGTTTGAAGTTGCATATGAAATCTACACTTTTGTTTTCATGACCTATGAAAACCTAGCTACAATTAAGACAGTGCATCAATCACATCCCCAAATTTCTTTGCGCCCCTTCTTAATTCCCTCCTCCCGCCACCCCATCCCTCCATGATCTTTTTGCTATAGCAGTTCACAACTTCAGGAATTTTACATAAATGGAATAGATACAGTATGTACCACTGTGTGTAGGCTTCTTTCACTCAGCATGATTGTCTTGAGATTAATCCACCTTGGTGCATGTTTCAACAGTTAACTCCTTTCTAATGTTATCTAGTATCCCACTGAAGAGATGGCCCACAATATCCTTTCACCTGTTGATGGGACATCTGCATTGTGGTCCAGTTTTTGGCTGTACTGAAAAGCTGACAATATTCTTTAGTTGTATGAAGACTGTGCAATTCTTTGCATGCACATATGCTTTCTTTTTTCCTGAGGTAAACACAACAAGTAGAAAGATGGGCTCACCTGACAGGTATCTGACTTTTATTTAAGAGACTGCCAAAGTGTTTTCCAAACTGAGCATACTATTTTACATTTGCACCAGCAACGTGCAACTATAATAGTTCCTCCACATTCTCACCAACACTTGGTATGGTGAGTTTTTGTGGGGTTTTTTTTGTTGGTTTGTTTTTGTTTTTTTCCGAGACAAGGTCTTGCTCTGTCTCCCAGATTGGAGTACAGTGGTGCAAACACAGCTCACTGCAGCCTCGACCTCTGGGGCTCACTCAAGTGATTCTCCTGCTTCAGCCTCCTGAATAGCAGGAACTACAGGGGTGCACCACCATGCCCAACTAATTTTTTTATTTTTATTTTTGTAGAGACGAGGTCTCACTATGTTGCCCAGGCTGGTATCAAGCTTATTGGCTCAAGCAATCCTCTCGCTCTGGCTTCCCAAACTGCTGAGATTACAGGTGTGAGCCACAGCACCCAGCCTCCTTACAGTTTTAATCTGCATTTCCCTATGGTAATGATGTTGACCATCTTTTCCTGTACTTATCAGCCGTATGTACATTGTCTCTGGTGAAGTGTCCGTTCATGTTTTTGGCCTGTATTTCTGAGTTGTTTTCTATTATTGACTTTTGAGAGAACATTACATATACCAGATAAAAATCCTTTTGCAGGTATTTTCCCTCACTTTATGGTAATTTTGATGAAGTCAATCATTTTTTCATTTGGTAGATGGTGCTCTAGTATCATATTAAGGAATCTTTGCCTATTTCAGGGTTACAAAGACATCTCCCTGTTTTCTCTTCTAGAAGTTTTATGGTTTTATACTTTGTATTTAGGGTTCTGACTCATTCTGTGTATTCTGTTAGGCACAGATGATTTTTTTTTTTTTTTTGCATATGGACATACAATTGGTCTAGAATCATTTGCTGAATAGGTTGTCCATTCTCCACAGAATCACCTTTCCAAATCTGTCAAAAATCAATTGTACATAAATGTGTGGGTCTATGTGTGGACACCACGCATCTATTCACCATTAAGGAAAGACAATCCTGTCCTGATTTCTGAAGCTTCGTAACAGGTCTGAAATTAGGTGGTGTCAACCATCCCACATTTCCTTTCTATTCTAACATCCTTGTGGTTTTTCTCGATATTTTGCGCTCCCATATGAACTTTAGGATCAGCTTGTCCATCTCTATGATAAAAGACATCAGGGATTTACAATGAGATTGTGCTGAATGTATACATCCACTTGGGGAGAATGGGCATCTTAATAACATTAAGTTTTCCACTCCACACTGTGTATGTGTCTCTCTACCTACTTAGTTCTCTACCTACTTAGTTGATTAATTTCTCTCAGCAATAGTTAGTTTTCACTATATAGGGCATATTGCATATTTTGTCAGATTTACTGTTAAGAATTTCCTATTTGTTGATGCTATAGAAAATGGGATTTCTTAAAATTTAACTTTCTTAGAGATGCGGTCTTGTTATGTTGCCCAGGCTGGACTCAAACTCCTGGGTTCAAATAATCTTCCACCTCAGCCTCACAAGTAGCTGGGACTACAGGTGTCCACCATCTGCTTGATGAAAATGCATTTTTAAAAACCAATGCTTCATTACTCATATATAGAAATAAAATTAATTCTTTTACATTGATCTTGTATCATGGAACCTTGTTAAATCTGTTGGTCTTTTTCATAGATTCCAACATATTTTCTACACTAAATTTCTACAGAAAATAATGTCTGTAAATGAAGGCAGCTTACTTCTACATTTCCACAATGGATGCCTTTTACTTCTTTTCCTTTTTATTTACTGAGCTGACTGGAATCTAAAGAACAACGCAGACACAGAAGTGACCAGAGGACACACGCTTCTCTTGTTCCTAATGTTAGAAAAAAGAATTTAGCTGTTCCCCATTAAATATAATGGTAGCTGTCAGTTTTTCATAGATGCCCCTAATAGTTTGAGGAAAGTTTTAAAATCAGGAATCGATGTTGGACTTTGGCAAATATCTTTTCTCCATCTACTGAGATCATATAGTTTTAACTTTTTTGGCCTGCTAATATGGTAATAATACATTAATTTTTGAATGTTAAATGAAACTTACATTCCGGGAGTAAACACCACCTAGTCATGATGAATGTATACATATTGTTGAATATAATTTGCTAAATTTTTGTTTAGAATTTTTGCATCTACGTTCAAGAGGGGAACTGGTCTGTAGTTTTGTTTTGTAGTATTTCTGTCTAGTTTTGGTATTAGGAATGATACTGGTGCCATACAATGAAATTGGAGGTATTCCTGCCTTTTCCACTTTCTGTGTAAGTTAAGCATTTGAAATCAAAATCTGAAATGCTCCAAAGTATGAAACACTGTCAGTGCCAACATGAAACTTAATGGAAATGCTCACTACAGCATTCTGAATTTCAGAATTTTGGATTTTGTATGCCGAAACGGTAAGTATAATGCAAATATTCCAGAATCTGAAAAACTTCTGGTCCAAAGCATTTTGGATAAAGGGTACTCAACCTATAGTTGGTTTGATATTGTTATCACAGCTGCCCCTTGAACAACATGGAAGCACCCATCTCCAGCAAGTCATCTCCTATTAATTACTCTGGTATAGTATCTATTTGTTCTTGAACTTCTCCAACATCCTTATCTTGAAACCCTTTACGCCCTGATTTTTTTTGGTCATATCTACAATCTGCTTCATGATTTCCTTGACTGGCTCTATCATAAATCCTGTGAACTGATATAC